TGAGTTTATTCTCCATCTCCAGGTTTATTTCTTCGGAGATCAGCCATCCAGAAAGCTGATTTAACGAAATATTGGTATTGTTCATGCGAATGTTTTGCTTAAAGGATGAGTATTCGGTGGGAAGACCACGAATAACAGCATTCACCACATCACGTTCAGGGATCTCTTCTTTCAAGGCATCGAGATCCGAGAGAATAGTTGCCACATCATCAAGGTATTGTGTCATAGTTTTGGTACCTTTACGAAGAGTGTGGAGTTTGTCCCGAAGCTGATAAACATGAGCGGTGGACACGGAGTTGTACCGTGCGGCCAAAGCATCCCAGAGGGCAGCAGATGTGGTGAAGCCGCGAGCATGTTTGTGAACGGAGGGGCTGATGACCGCTAGGAGGCAGGCGCGGATCTGTGTGTCAACGATGGTCCAGGAGGTATACTCTGGATTAGGGACGGTTTTATCGTTTTTGGAGATAGTTGGCGCCGGGGCTGCTTCATGACCATCAATCCATCCAAGGAGGAGATTAGCTGAAAGAGCTGCCTGGACATTGAGAGACCATGCCGGATAATTTGTTTCGGTGAGTTTTTCTGGGATTAAGTTGTGGAGACTCCGAAGCAAAAGTTTTACTCCGGAGGGTAAGGACGCCAAAGGATCCGACGGGGCTGCCATGGTGGGCGGCGGTCGGGAAAAAGAGAGGCTAGGTTTTTGAGAGCCTTAGCTCCGATACCATGATACAATTTGATAATAACTTGTCTTATTGAATATTGAGAGATATGGCCCTAAGAGTAATCAAAGTACAAGTAGGAAAGGAAAGAATAATCCTAGTAGGAAAGAAAAGAAGTATCCTAATTTAATTATACTTCCTAATAGTTCCAAATCGGCTTGGATACCATTCAATCCTTGATTATTCATTGCGACTCGATTGGAGAGGTACAGAAATTGGACAAGCTCCACCACTGCTACAAAGTTGTCGCCGCAAACACACAAAGAAGTGAATTAAAGAACGAAAGGTAGTGAAATCTGTGCAAGATCTTGGATTTGGTCGTAAACCCTAATGATAGGGAAGGAATCGCAGGCCCTAATCATAGGGAAGGAAAAAAACTTTTTTTCCCTAGATTTAGCTATTCTTTGGATTTAAGAAAAATGATGGGAAAAAATAACGATGGATTGAGAAAACATAATTTTTAAGAAACATTTGTTAGTTCCATGGTGTTGGCTAATCTTTTGGCAAAATAGAATCCCATATTTGTTAGGTATTTTACTAGGTAAGAACCTCTTTTTGTTAGGATATGTTTATTTTATTTAGACTTCTAGAGTTGTTGCTGTTTTCGAGGATGACACAAAAGATGCTACATCACGATGCTGCAACACATTGTTCGGGATCAGAGGTCTGAGCATGGAATTTTAAGTTGCAATATAATCTGAATTAGAGACCTATTGGGATTGTGATTACATGATAATAACTCCAGCTGTACATGCTAAGGAATCTCAACTCTTTAGGCTACTTGTTGATCAAGATTAAGGAAGTTGAGTTCAACCCAACTTCTACTATCCTATTCTTACTAGGATTGGGTTTTGTTTGGCCTATAAAAACGCAGCAGGTCCCTGAGAATTACTTGGAGCGATCGAGAGGGAAAATAAAGAGTATACGCTGATGTAGAGCATTCCCGTCGCATCCTGGAGCTTCCCATGCGTGAAGAAGGTCATGATTTATATGAAGGAGGAGATCTTCAACGCCAAACAGATCGTGACGTCCAGGAGATGAACTAGAGCTTAAGGAGAGGGCTGCCAACACGTTTGTCCTCATGATCTCGGTGGAGATGTGATAGCCGAAGCGGATCTGAATAGAGTTCAGGTTAGAAATCCTAGATTAGAAGTTTTGTCATAACATTTCGGAGAAGTGTGTCTCATCATGTTGTTATGTACCGGTGTAACTTGCATCTAGTGATTTTGTGGAGGGCTATTATACGGACGTGGGCCCGCAGACTCGGAGAATTTTCTCCGAACTGCGTAAACATATCTGGTGTTATTTTTTATGCTTTTTATAGTTACAGCATTCTGCCCAGTAGGCGCTGTAACGCTCTCTGCATCATCTGCTTCTGTGTGCGTGCTTGTGATAGAGAAGTGTTGTAGAACCGAAAATATCCGAATCGAACTAGACCCGAAACCGAAATATATCCGACTCAAATTGTATCTAAACCAAAAATGTATAGAACCGAAATCAAATTATAACCAAACTGTATCTGAACCGACTCAAAACCGAACTGAACCGAAAAATGTATAGAACCGAAATCAAATCCGAACCAAAATTTAACCGATCCGAACTGAACCGAACCAATTATAACATATAACTTAAAGATTTCCACCTCTAGTTATAGCACATGGTTCGTCATCTGTTACTGTGACAGTGCTACAGCGTCTTCTCTGTAGCATAGTGGATTGATTTGTTTTCATAGCTCTTAATTGGTGATTTCCGCTGCGCCCTCCACGAACTTACAACATTTTCATGTTTGCATGAGAAAGAAAGGGAGAAAAGAGAGGAATAGATCAATTAAAAAATGATATCAAAGACAAATATATTAAAAAAAAAAATTTCCTTTCACTTTTATCATATTTTTCTTGTCATCTAAACAACAATTATTCTTCTCCCATTTTCTTATCATTTTCTTTCTCATCATTTTCTTTTCTCATCCAAACATATAGTTTAGGAAAAAAAATTTTGTGTTTACTTTGCAAATTTCTTTTGATATGATATACTCCCTCCGTTTTTTAAACCCTTCCACTTTTGACTTTGGGCAAAAATAAGAAAAATGTAATTTTGGTTGACTTTCCAATTTTTCCCCTGATGTGATGGGTAAAAGTAAGATGTGATAGTTTGGTTATTAGTGAAAAAGTATGATGTGATAGGTAGGGTATAAAAAAGTAAGAATAAAAGTGGTTTTTTAATAGAAAGTGAAAGTGTTTTAGGGAATTCAAAAAAAACGAAAGTGGAAGGGTTTTGTGGAACGGAGAGAATACAAAACTAGGGTATAAAGAGTAGATTACTAATGAATAGATATAACGTGATAGGTGTGGTAAGACTGTATCTTTGATACTATGTTACAATTTGATAATTTGTTCATCATTTTATTTTTTTATCTTCCCAATTTACCATTTGTCTTCCTCACTGTACCGATTAATTTTTTCCTCTATTGAGAGCCCGTTCTGTACGTAGGACTTATTTTTCTATTTATTACTTATTCTTATTAAAATTAGATTAGATCTAGAAAAGAAATTGAAAGGACGGAGCAAAGAAAAACTCTCTCCATTCCATATTTTTCTACACCCTTTGTCCCAATTTTAATTACAAAATGAGAATTGCGAGATACGGAGTACAACTTTTGAAATTATTTTATTTAGAAATTGGTACATCAATAATAAATAAAAATTACTCCCTCCGTCCGGAAATATTCTTCCCATTTGACTTTTCTTGGTCAAAATTTTTAAACTTTGACTATGATATGTGGAAAAAATACATTGTATATATTACAATATAAATTTAATATGAATATATATTCATTTTGAAATATAGTTTTCAAATATCAAATTTTTATAAAAAATATCTATGTATAAATAAAGATATTAGTGCTCAAAGTATAATCTTGGAGACCGTAAAAAGTCAAATGGGAAGAACATTTCTGGACGGAGGGAGTACTAATTAAAAAATTATGTCAACAGTTTTATAAAGCAAGATGTAACGAATAGAGAGAGTATCTTTTAAATTTTGCAATCAACTTTTTTAATTTTCATCATTAAATATTAAAAAACAACTACATTATCTAGAAAAATAGAAATGATAAGATCCATTAAAAGAAGAACCTTTATGTGGATGATTCTATTGAATGGACACAATATAATGTGAGAAGCAAAATAAATTGCAAACTCTAGAATAACTATTCCGACCAAAAATAATTTTCCGGTCCATTATTTTTAGTGTCAAATTGTATCCACTTGATCTATTTTTTATGCCTATTTGATAAAATAATATAGTTATGTTACTTCTAAATCTTTTGTTGTAGTTTTTAAAAACGTAATTTTTATTTTTTAATTTCACAATATTTTTTATATAAAATGATTTTAAAAATAGTCAAATATCATAACTCGCAATATATGGAAAGATTATTATTTTTAGATAGGGGGAGTTTGTATTTGCAGAAGTTAGTGTTTGAGTAACATTAGTTAAAAAATGGGGCCGGGGGCCGGTAGGGGGAAGCCATAATAAGAAGGTGGTATATTTTCATATTTTGAATATATATATATTCCGTTCATATAGAATATATGAATCAAATAGTGCATATATTCAATATATAGATTATTCAAATATAGAATGTTGAAGTAATATTTAGAAAACGTACTAATGCATTATTTTCATATTTTGAATATATATTCAAATAATTCAATTCACAGATTCTTAATATAAATATCTCTCTAGATCAATAACTCATTATAAGGTAAATTTATATGGCTTTCATTATTAATAGCTCTACATTATGCGCAAGTTGGGTCACCAACAGCACATGGGCAATCAATAGAAATCGTACGACATTCAGGATTTACTATACGATAACAGAATGTGTTGCATGCATCAAATAACGAAATTCCATCATCCACACCAAATCGTATCGCATTGACTTCGTGGCACAATCCATAACACTTACAATATATTTTCCGGTCACATTCACTTGCCACTCCATGCAACAATATTAATGTGAAAAGTAGCATTTTCACCAAAAGTGTCATGATCATCTTGTTAGGAATCACCATACATCTGCTCTCAAAAACAAAATTAGGCTTCATTTAGAATATATATATATATATATATATATATATATATTCTCAATTAATCATCAATTTATAATGTTTACATAATGAAGATAAGAAAGACATAATGCCACTCTTTAATGCTTTTTCTAAAAAAAGATTGATTTTTTTCATTGAGGGACTAGTCAACAAAGAAAGCAAGTGATTTTTTTTACATGAAACAAAAAATTCCAATAGATGAGTAAGTTTTAATTCTCCTTGGTTTTTTTAAAAATGTAATATATATGCTTCGTAGTATAAAGAAAGCAATAATCAATACCTTAGTTTATAATCACTCATGGTTGATGAGGAATACGGAGTATATTAAAGTATTTGGAGAGCAATTCAAAATTTCCTTATGAAAAAATAGAAATCTTGAAGTTACCAAATTTACACTTATTAATAAAATCAATCTATGAATCAATATTTTGTTGATGTATACACACACACGTATCCATATGTGTGTGTGTGTATATATATATATATAACACTTCAAGCATTTATATTCTTATAACTTAAAAAAATTAATTCTACATTAATATGTTTCGAATTGATGACAATATACAGTAAAACTCGTATAAATTAATAACATTAGGACCTGAGTGAGAAATACTAGACTAATACGGAGTATACGTTAAGACTGTCTGGGAACAATATTCCTCCCTCGCTTTTGTTAGACGATAATATCAATAGTACTTCTTGTAGTATTGATTATGGTAGTGCTTCATTATTAGTCAGCTTTCTAATCCTATTTGTGGTAGATGTTGTATGTTAGTTAGTTTCCATTCTCTATTCCTAGTTATGTTAGGAGTCTCTCCTATATATACTTTATCATGTACTCCATAATTCAATGAGCAATATTAATATTCCAATATTTCAACATGGTATCACAGTCACCGCTCTTGGTGACCTAAAAAAAAGTTCTTTGCTCCCGCCGCCGCCGCTAGTAATTCCAGCAACGGCGGCTCCACCTTATTCACCTCTATTTTCTTTTCCTTCTTTATCTTCAAATCAACTTCTCTATTCAAATGAAAAAAAAGGAAAAAACTCCTATTGAAATCACACAAAAAAACTATCGAATGAGGAACTTCTCTCTTGTCATCTCTATGGTTCTTCAAAAAAGAAACTCAACTCCTCACAAACTCTCTCAGATCTCAAAAAAAGGAAAAAAATGATTGTTGTTTCTCTCCAATTCACCACATCAAAATCTCAAACCCAAATTTTTTTCCATCACCAATTCTTAACCTACTTTTTCTCTTTAAAATCACTCATTCCAATCATCAACCTCTCTTCTCTTTCTCTTCTGTTGAATCATTAAAAATCCAAAGTAAAATTAGCACAAAAGCAAAGCCAAGAGGGGAAGTAGTGAAAGAGGAAATAAGACCTCTACAACTCACCCCTTCAAGAAGGAAATAGGGCATTGCCCGGATCCAAGAAAAAGACAAAAAATGTCAAGGATCTTCAGTCAAACAGGCACCTCCAGTAGCTTTCTCTATTCTTCTTCGACGTCAGCAGCTACAAGCGCATGTCAACCTTCTCTCATCTTCATCGACATCAGCAGCTACTAGCGCACGTCAATTTCTCTCTTCTCCAACGACGTTAGCAACTACCAGTGCACGTCAGGCTTCTCTCTTCTCCAACGACGTTAGCAGCCACCAGCGCGCGTCAGATTTCTCTCTTCTCCAATGACGTCAGCAGCCACCAACGCGCGTCACACTTCTCTCTTCTCCAACGATGTGAGCAGCCACCAACGCGCGTCAGACTTCTCTCTTCTCAAAGTTTCTTATTTCCAGCTAGTGTCCAAGCTTCCTCTTGCTTCAGCCAGAGTTCAGCTTGAGGGAGGATGTTAGACAATAATATTAATAGTATTTCTTGTAGTATTGGTTATGGTGGTGTTTCATTATTAGTCAGCTTTCTAATCCTATTTGTGGTAGATGTTGTATGTTAGTTAGTTTCTATTCTCTATTCCTAGTTGTGTTAGGAGTCTCTCCTATATATACTCTATCATGTACTCCATAATTCAATGAGCAATATTAATATTCCAATATTTCAACAGCTTTCAATTGAAAATTAAAACTATTTGGAGAAATAACAAATATGAAGGGTATATTTATGGTTGATTTTCTAATTTTGCCTTTAATATTATGGGTAAAAAAGTAAGATGCGATAGATTGATTATTAGTAAAAAAAAAATGGGATGTGATAAGTAGAATTAAAAAAAATAAATGTAATTTTTAATAAATTTTGAAAGTGTTTTGCAAGAACAAGAAAATGAATGAGGAAGTGGTTTACGAAATCGGAAGAATATTTATCAGCCTTAATGTTTTAATTAAGACTTTAATGGTGTAGGCCGAATACAACGCACCTTCCCCTCCCAACAATTATAATACCATTGCATTTAAAAAATAAAATAAATGCTATTTAAAAAATAAAATAATTTAAGTGCTATTTAAAAAATAACTTATAATATGTTTTAGTGCTATTTAGTACCGGAGTGCAAAAATTTCTTAAGGATTTCGTGGGACAAAAGAAAAATGGAATGATGAAGCAAAATACTCCCTCCGTCCCACTTTTTTGTCCACTTACCTTTTGGCATACCATCCAATGCACTTCTTTAATCCATTTTATCTTGTAATTTTTATATTTAAAAATTATACTCCGTATATTAATAATCTATATGTTAAGACAAATCAAACAAGATCACACATGACTATATTTAGACTTACACATTGAGAGAATTTGATGAGTCAAAATGTTTAAATGAGCAATTTCAAAAGTCAAAAGTGAACAAAGAGAGTGCTTTGGGGGCGGGGTGTGTAGTCCCATCACTCTTGTGCCCATATGGGCGCATGGGGAGGGTGTAGAAATTCCGTGGGACAAAGGAAAAAGTCAAATTTTTCCGAGATGTTAGAGTTAAACTAAAGGTACCCCATTTGTTCTTCACTTCCTCCATAACCACTCATTTCAATTTGATTTTTATATACTTAATTTTTTTAAATTTTCTTGCTTATTTGAATGGTTATGGAGAGGGTGGGGGACAAATGAGATACACCTTTGGTGTACTCCTAACATTTTTCTTTCTTATTTGATGCACTTGGCTTGAAAGTTAAAAAATAAAAGAAAAAGTCAAATTTTTGAAATTCCAAAAACAAAGGTAAAAAGGCCAAAATTTTGAAAATTTGAAACAAATTCAAAATTTTGAAACTTTGAATTTAAAATAAGAGCATCCTTGTTTTCAGCTTTATCAATGTACTATATCTGTCTTATAGTACTTGTTCACTTTCATTTTTACACACCATTCAATATATTTTTTTAATCTATTTTATCTTGAAATTGATATATTAAAAAAGTATAGAAATTATATATTAATAATCTATATGTTAAGACAAATCAAACAAGATTACACATGACTATATTTAGGCTTACACATTGAGAGAATTTGATGAGTCAAAGTGCTTAGATGAAGAATTCCAAAAGTTAAAATTGGACGAATACTCCGAGACAGAGGGAGTATTTTAATTCTTCTATACTTGAGATGTTGGGAATGTAGAGTTATTGTTTTTTACTCTCTTTGTCCCAATTTTATTACAAATTAGGGTTTACGATGATAAATATCTCACCTTTGAAACATTTTATCTACAAAACGGTATATTGATAAGAAAATAAAAATTACATATTAAAAAATTATGTCAAAAATTCTACAAAATATAAGAGGTGATAAGAATATTTTATTTTATCCAATACGTAATGAAATCGAGTAAACAAACAAAAGTTATTGAGAGAAGAGAAAAACATTGTAACAAAAGTTACTCTCCCCATAATATTTCTTCTAAAAGAAATATTTTTTTAAAAATGAATTTCTAAAAGTCAAATAATTTTTTATGTTTTTAGAAATGGAACTAAAAATGGCTTTGTAAAGGCCAAAATAGGTTTTTTTTAATCTTTTTAAAAAATGTTTAAAAACAGCTTTGGAAAAGCCAAAACATTTTTTAAAGTTTAAGCCAAAATATTTTTTTTAAAAAAAACGACTTTGGTAAAGCCAATTTCTAACCGAGGAAATTCATGTCCAAATTCTTCCAAGTGCAGGAATTTATTCAAAGAAAAATGGAATGATGAAGCAAAATAAATGCTGTCAGGGTGTAGTCCCATCACTCTTGTGCCCATACATCGTTTGCTCAAGTGAAGCACAAATGTGCTGGAACCTAAAATTAATTTCTCATTTGACTTTTCACGGTTTCCAATGCGACACTTTGATCATTAATATCTCAAGTTTTATATAAATATATTTTATAAAAATTATATATTTTAAAACTATGTTTCAAAATGAATCTATTGCTAATAAATTTATATGAAAATTCAAAGTTTTTTTTCGTAATATACGGTCAAAGTTTAAAAAGTTTGACTACAAAAGTCAAACTGGGAAATTAATTTTAGGAGGGAGAGTATTAATTTGTCATCTCTATTGCCCTTCTACAATACCATACATGCATATATACATATATACCCGGCCGGCCCCCAAGTCTAAGCCACCATCCACAAGTGTAATCTATAATCATCATCTATCTATCTATCTATCTAGCACACAAAAAAATCTTCCAAATCTTTGTATTATCTCTCTATCAAAGTGTTATATATGGCTTCCCTTCTCACAGCAAACAGCAACAAACCCTCTTTCTCTCCACCACTCCCGACGACCATAGTTGTTGTTTCTGTTGTGCTGTTGTTGCTCCTCCAAAAAACCACCAATGTCTCCTGCGAGCTTCACCTCCTTCCCGCCGCTGTATCCCAAGGCGCCGTTTGCCTTGACGGCAGCCCGCCCGCCTATGAATGGGAAGCCGGGAAAGGCCGCCATGGGGGGAGGAACTGGCTGGTTTACCTCCAAGGCTCCGGCTGGTGCCTGAACACCTCTGCCCATCGCATTCCTGATGGCGCCGTTCAAAGCTGTGCGGAACGGGCGAAGACCCACTTTGGTTCTTCCCACCGCATGCTTCCTACTGACTTCTCCAGCCACCCCATTCTTTCTCCCCGGTCCAATGATAGTTTTTTCTATGATTGGAACCGGGTGGTGGTGAGATCCTGTGATGGGGGGTCGTTCTCCGGCGATGCCGACATGCCGGATCCCGTCACGGGTCTTCACTACCGTGGCGCGAGGGTGTTCCGCGCTGTTGTGGAGGACCTGATGGAAAAGGGGCTGAAAAACGCCCGAAATGTCCTCCTCGCTGGGGGTTCATCTGGCGGGCTCAGGGTCATGGTGCACTGTGACAGGTTCCGGCGCCTGTTCTCGAGGAATGTGAGGGTGAAGTGTCACACTGATAGTTCCCTCTTCCTCCACGTCAGAGACCCTCGCCAGGCGAGGTTCTTCAACGACGTCTTCGGAAACGTTGTGGGTGTGCACCGTCCGGACAATGTGTTGCCCGGACGGTGCACTTCGAGGATAGGCGTGGAGGCGTGTTTCTTCCCGCGGAACCTGGTGCGGTATATCGAATCGCCGTTGTTCATTTTGAACTCGGAGTTCGATTCGTTCCAGGTGACGAACACGTTCTCCAAGGCCTTGCATGACAATGTCATTCACCACAACGTTAGCCGGAGCGATTTGGCACTCCTCCGAGACTTCCGGGCCCAAACGATCGGAGCACTGCCTCGACCAAGCAGCACGAAGGGGTATCTACTCACATCCCTCTTCATGCATAGTCTCAGAACAATTCAGGGCTACAAAGGGCCAATGTTTCCGGGGCGAAAGTCAAAGTCTTTCGAGAGTGCGTTGGTCGATTGGTTTTTCGATCGAGCAACCAATGTCCATCTCATAGACCCGGCGAAACAACCCTTTTATTGAACGGCCCGTGGAGTTGAGGAGACCACATCAACTTAAATAAATGTACTACTTAATTAGTTGATGTGAATAATATGTCATTAGCTGGCTATTTGTCATGAATTAATTACTCCGTATTTCATGAATATTATTGAGGTGCTGTCTTCTTATTAATCTCTTCTTCTTATTATTTTAATTAATTATTGTTCGCAAACACATTTTACTTTTTAACCGTACGTGCCAATCGATCGTTCCTGCCAGAAGAAATTAAAGTTGGTATTTAAAGAACAAAATTTAAACTTAGACAGAGAAAGAAAATTAAAGCTGAGAAGATTTAAATATACTCCGTATATTAAACTGTGTTTTTTTTGGAAAGGAAGAATTGGTTATTAATTAAGCTGTGTATTTTAACGAACAGATTAAATTTAAGCTTAAATAAAGACAGAGAAAAATAAAGCTCAATTATTGAGCAATTAAATTGAACTTAAAAATGATGGGACTCCGATCGGTAAGTCGTAGTTTGGTACGTACGTTGGGCTACTTACCATTACATGCACTTAAATATATTACTTAGCCGAAGATGGATAGGGACACATGTGCAGCTGAAAAAGGTGAGAATGGAAGAAAATACTCATTTTAGCTGTTTAGCAAAGTGGGAATCTAAACGACTAAACCCATACTTGTTTGAGTATCTGGCGCGCGCGGGCACACACTCTCCCTCCCTAAATAGATTACGATTTTTTTTCTCTCCTCTCGACAACTTTTGTTTGTTTACGCAATTTCATTAAGTTTTATACTCCCTCCGTCCCATAAAGTGTTACCTATTTTGACTAAAGTTGAAATTAAGGGAAGGATTATTTTGTTTTGACTTTCCAAAAAAATACCTAAAAGTAGGATGAGATGTGTAGATTATTAGAAAAAAGGTATGATGTGATAGGTAGGGTTTGAAAAAGTAAGTGGTAAAAATGGTTTTTTAATAGAAATGGGTAAGGGATTGTGGGACACATTTTTTTTGAAACGTGCAAATCTTTTTGGGACGACGGGAGTATATGAGATAGTGCATTTTCAAAGGTGAAAAAGGGAGACATGTAGTGAAATGATTAGGTTTTTTTAGGACGTCCAAAAATAATACGTAATCTTGAGATGTTCCAAAAAGATTTTTCTTATTAATTACTCCGTCTTACAAAATTTCCGTCTTACAGAATTATTTTGGAGTATAAAAATAAAAATAGGATTTTTTTAATGAATTTGTTTAGTGTCAGTCCAAAACAATATCTTTCTTCTTTTTAGGTTTTTCATTTTTGAACTTACCAAAAAAATATTGTAGAAAATAAAAAGTAAAAATATTAATCTAAAATAAATGGAGTATATGTTACTTTGTTTTTTTTTCATTTCAAACACAAAAAAATTTGAATTTTCCAAAACATTATAAAAATTTAAAAATATATTTAACAAACTTGTCTAGGAAAAAGAAACAAAGAGATAACAAAGAGTCAAAAAAGGAAAAAACTTACATAATAAATGAAATATAAAAAATGAGCACGAATGCTCCATATGATTTAGAAAATAGTAGGTACTAATACCCTCTTTTTGTCGATCGAAAAACGACTGGATAATGATCAGAGGTTGTCCATGGATGCAATGTTTTGAAACCACGAAAACTTTAGAAATAAGTTTCAAAAACAGAGGCTATTGGAGCCTATTTTTCAAACCACGGAGAGTCTTGTGTTACTTGACCTTAGGAGAACGGGAAATGGTTTTGAAACCCTGTGGCTTCAAATCAAGGTTTCAAACTTCTTCTCTATACCACGCGAGCTTTAATTTACCTCGCCAATTCACTGGAAATGGGTTTGAATTGAAGGCCCAAGGCTTCGAATTGGGGCTTCAAACCTTATTTTTTTACATTTTAAATATACATCTTCTAAAATTAAATTAATAAAATTTAATTATTTAATTTTTTCATTAAAAAAATTACATTCATTAATAAAACAATTTATATTCATTGAATAAAAAAATACACGGTGCGATAACGGAAAAGGGAGCGATGTTGGGGGGCTCCAACGGCCGAATTTTGGCCTATAATTTGTGTCAAAAGTTTGACGCCACAAAAATGACGGTGCAATAATGGGAAAGGGGTCGGTGTTTAACGCCCCCCAATGCGTCAAAACCAGCTTAACGCCAGTGGGCGTCAATGGTATTTTCACTGCTCTAAGAATAAGTAATGCTAAGTCAGTAGAAGTAAAATGAAAATAATGCATCCGAAGAGAATGAAAAAAATTACTTTTTTTGTCAAAATTAAATTGTTTGTTAACTATTCACATGGTTATTTTATTTGGGTGTTTCTCCCATGCCCAAGCAAATGAGGGCATGGATACCCTTCTATTGAATTAATGCCATGTGGACTAATCTCCGCATCATTACAATTTTTAGAAATTCTAGAAAAGACCCTATCCGGCCTCTTAATCCTATTTGCATTAGTTCTTCCCTTCATTTTCATTGTCCCATTTTTTCTCTTCCATTGTTATACTTTGGTTATCATACTTATTACTCCCTACTTACTCCATTTTATGTTTTTCAAAAAGAAAAATTATCACTCTATTTTTAGAGAGTACTTTCTCTATCTAATTTAAATTATCTATTTTGATTTATGATATTTAAATAAAGTTATTTCCAATACCCGAATGTATAATTTATTATGGAGTAAAAAGTTAGAACAACATTATAAAAATGAATTTTACCTATTAAATATTGTATAAAAAATTCCATGAAACAATAGATAACATGGCTATATTATTTATCAAAAGAGTAATGAAGATAGAAAAATAAAATGGGTTTTTCTCACATGCCTTCTTATTTCAAAGGGTATGGATGCCCTTCTATTTAAATAGTGACATGTGGACAAATAATAATGAGAGTATTCAACAAAGTTTACTATGGAGCATAGTTAGTTGCAAAATTTACAAAATGCTCCCTCTAAAATCTAAATGGCACGCATCACTCTATATTAAAATTTGCAAAACCCTCTCTTCTTTTTTAAAAATTTTAAATGAAATTTCAATTGAATTTTTAATTTATTAAAAATATTTTATCACAATAGTAATAATAATAATAGTAATAATAATAATTATGTTTGGTTCTATTGAAAATTAAAATAAAAAACTTTTTTGTACATACTTATTTTAATATTATCCCATATGTATTTATTTAAAAAATGGGCAAGGTTCCCATGACATTGGGAACCAATGTCATGGGATGACCCGGGGGCGCTCCGGTGCCCCGTTCGTAAAATTGACGGTTGACGGTGCCGGGTATTTACGGACCGGGACCACGGGCATGGAAGTTGTCTGACCAGTCAAATCAAGGGGCCCACGATTGGACCCCTGCCACGCCTCCGTCAGAGTAGTTTTAGCCACCCTACTTGTAACCTATCTTGTATAGCCACCTTAGGGATAATGATGTGGTTGGCGCCGCTAGTTAAACGACCAAATCTTAGTGGGCCCGATCCGTTGGACTCTGAACCAACGGATCGGGAACCCAACATTTGTAGTTTGTATATAAGTCCTTTCTCTAGAGAAAGGGAGACACGTTCTCTTGTACGCTAATTTTTACGATCTTACTTGATTCCCAACCTGTGCGTTCTCAACTCAGTTCGATACTCTTTTGTCTTGTCTCCTAGGCCTCGGGTTCCTTAACCCAACATAAACTTTTTCCTCAACTCAATTTCCTGAAACCACAATTGCACCGATAACATTATTTCGCAGCTCTTGAACGATTAATCTTGTCCTATTACACAATTCAGATGTTTGGTCAATATTCTTCAATAGCATAATCGGTACCCCTTTTTTCAAGACACATAATTAAAGATTTCCATATATAAGTAAACGGATCCAAAATAATATTAGCATTATCCAACATACATAATATAAGTAAGGTGACGAGTAATATACCCGTGATCATCATTTTCAAAATTAGTACTATTATTTAGGATTGTTTCTTAATAATCTTTTTTGTAAATAATAATATTCTGATTTCCATCAATATAGGTACTCTATTGATTTTAACTCTTATTATACAAAAATTTCCACAATAAACCTTTGTAACTTATTAATTTAAGTATGTAATTTTTAAATATGGAAGTAAGATAAAGGATTAATATATGTAGCATGGTCCTAAAATTCTATTTAAATTAAATGAAAAATATTATATTTATTTTTTAATAGTCTTTATATTTTTTCATATTTATTTTTAATTATTTTATATTATCATCATAATAAGAGTTCGTATTGTTGTAATCTGAAGCAAAGAATTTTGTTGAAGGCCAGTGATTATCGCGTAGAAAATCTACGGTCAATTGTTTTCAACGGAAGATCCGCTGGTGCATCGTATATATTCCTATATAATTTATTTCTACTGGTTTACTCGGATATTACGTGACATGCTGACATGTTTAAATTTTGCCACATAGACATGCCAAATGTCGAATTTCCGTGCATCCGAGTCTCCTTTATTATATTAAAGGATGGAAAGGATGTGCAGTGTACATACTCCCATTATTATATTTCATGGATAAACAGTGGATAAAGTATGTTCGTGGATAATATTTATAGAACATTATTATAGTTTACTTTACAATTTCATTGTTACTATAATTACTTATTAAACTTTAATTGAAATTCTCCATTGTAATTCTTCCATATAGATAGAGATGGAACCTGATGGGTGTATTCCCACATAAGATTCGACCCCACGTCATCAGACACAACAAGAAATGACCAGGTGACCGAGGAGCAACATGTGCCAAAAATTTGGGCCAAATCTGGAACCTGGCCGATGTGGTTCGGTAACTGTCACG